CACGCCGCTGGTAGATGTAAATGAATTGATAATGATGACGTAGATGAGTTGATGATGAGGTAAGATTGATGGTTGACCTTTTTTCGTGCTGGCCGTCCACAGAGTCTCGTTGTTGCCGTCCTTTTTCTTCGTTAGCTACTGTGCTCGTCCAAGAGCGTTCTGATGACCTTGTGCCTTTTTCTTTGGGGTAGGTTGTAGACTACACGTCGTGGTTTTATCGGTTGACGGACAGGATCTCAGCAGGTTGATCGAAATGTGCTCCCGTTGAGTTCGTCAAAATAGCACCAAGTTATGATTGACCTCGGTTCTTCTACTTTGATAACCTTGCTTGGCTACGAAATTTTCTCAAATTCCGGGTCTCTAACTTTCTTTCGCTTGATTTTAACTTACAGCAATCAGCTCAATTATAGCAAAAATTTTCGCACTTTTACGCACAGTATCCTACCGCTGCCACCAATTGTTACGTGCGTATAGCTACGTAATAGATAATTTTGAATAAATCTGGATACGTTTGTGAAAAGTTTTTATTAGGTTTAAAGTAGTGTTAGTTTAAAGTATTTTAAAGTATTGTTGACGCTTTTTTGCAACGCTGATTATTATCTTGATTATTCTGGCAGTTTGATAGTTTGAGAGCAAAAGTTATTTTGGCGGTTATTTAAAATTAAAAAAATTTTTTTTAAATATTTAGATTTTAAAAAAGTACAAAAAATATATTGAAATTTATGTAACTTTTATAATTAAAATATACGCTGTACTTTTTATTACATATTTAGTATTATAGTAAACTTATATAAATATGTGATTTATTTTAGCATAGTTCACGGCGTATTAATTATAAAAGTTTACTCTAAATTAATAATGTATACTTTAAACTTTGTCATCGAGGATATCATAATTTACGTAAATGAGTGAATATTAAATAATGACTTCTGTCATTAATGTCGCCTGTCTCTAGGGTCATTAATGTCGCACATCCGTCTTTTGTTATTGCATATCTAAAATTTTCTTTCCTTTTGCGTTTCTCACAGTTTCAAAAAAAGACAGACTGCAATACACTGTTCTGCTCGTCTATTAAAAGATTCTATCACATTTTGTTTAGCATCGGATCATATACTATGACAAACATTTTTAATATGTTTCGTATGTTCTGCGGTGTTATAGGAACGTTAGTAGCAATGTTTTCCAAATGATGGATTGAATATAATGCAAACGCAACTTGGCCAGTCTGTTCACCAACTAAAACTATTAGATTTCTATTTATAGGGAATACTAAAATCACTTGTGTAC